AGTGCATTTGTACATCTTATTGTTATTTGATAGTCAGAAAAACTATAATGTTTATCCTTGATTCCTTGATATAAAATTTAGTAACATTTTGTTATATGAAGAGTTATTTGCCAACCTATGAGTGATTTTTTATTTTTATTTTTTATATTGGAACAAGTCAATAATCATTTCCTAAATTGGTGTTTTATATATACAAAATCACAACCTTTTTCACTTGTATACTAGAGTGTAAAAACAGAACTATGGTTTTGTATTTCAAAGCTTGCATAATCATTATAAATAAACACATTCTTTGCAACATTGATACATTTTTTAAAAATTCAAATATCCAAGTATTTTACATGCGTGTTAAACAAAAATATGATGCGAATTTCTTAGAAATCAACATAAGGATCAATTTTCAATACATTTTCAAAATAAATATAGTTACAGATACTTAAACAAAAAGAATCAAAAGTATTTGAAAAGTCCCAAATCCCGAAATGTGTTTGATTTTGGACTTCTGGACTTTTGAATTTTCCAAACACATTTTGAAAGTTTTATTTTTATTTTTATTTTTTTAGTATTATTTGCTTAATCAATTGCTGCCAACATGAGCACATTGTGAACACATCCAATGGTAAGCATACTTTTTCTCAATATTTAACATCATCATCTTAATGAATAGCAGTTACATCCTTCCTGTCTTGTAATGTTAAAAAAAAAAGGATTGTTTACAACAGCCAAGCTGGATACTCTATCTTTACAAACAGGTTGATGGCAGTGTTAAATTTTTAGAGTGTCATGTGCAGACAGTTTTAAGTAATTTAGTATATTTACAGCAGTATTTTGTTGAATGAGAAAGCTTTAATCCTTTAAATATCACATACATGAAAAAAAAAAGCAAAAAAGAAATCGTCTGTCCTCGATGAAAAATAAACCCTAAACTGCACACTAATACATGATATGAAAAAAAAAAAAAAAAGAATTGATTGAATTTATTTGAAAAGATTTAGTTGTCGTGTCAACAAGCAATTTTACATTTGTATTTAATTCTACTGGTTTAGAAGTTTTCATCAACCATCTAAGGTTGAGAACATGTAAAAGCAGGAATATTTTATTCATGTAAGAGAAAGTAGAATATAAAAACCTGCTAAGAAAGTTGAAAAATTGAAAAAAATTATATGAAAGATTAAATCATCATTTGAAAATTATAGTTTCAATAAACCAATCAGTTTATTAAAAATAGATTTACAATATAATTATAGGTATTCATAATCAGTACATAATAAAATATATTAGTAATTTTTTTAATTCAATGATTTTTAAGAATAAATATTATGGTGCATTTATAAATCTATTACTCAAAAGAACTTTCCTGATGATCTATTTGCAAAACAAACAAGTATGATTAAATATACATATATAAATATATATATATATATATATATATGTATGTTATCAATATATCTATCCAGTAGTATCTAATGTTTCAATAACATGCAATAATTATACAATAAATTTTAAAATCTTTTATAGGTATTTATATAAATTATATGTCATGAATAATTTGCAATTTAGCACTACATATATGTAATACAAATTAAAAAACACCAGAAACCAAAACCATAAGATTTATGTAGGTGCATTTAATGTTCTTTTCTTGTTTCTTTTCTAAACTTCCAATTTCTCTTAAATATATCTCACCAGAATTGCATGGCCTTAATACCACCAAAAGTAAGCTTTGTTGGAAAATTTACAAATTAGTTCCAATTTCTGAATTCTCTAACGAGCACTGTTATTCTATATGACTATTACATCACAAGTTATTACTGCTGACCTTATCCTTATCAATGTTGACCTACTAATCCATGCCAGAAAGCATCCTTCCAACATGGACTTCTCAAAATTAATAATAATTATAAGTTTTAAAGCTCCAGAATAAATTTGAATGATAGCTCAGCTACTTGCTAAATTCAGAGAACACTTTTGTTCGAATAGTTTACGGGCGCATTTGCGCACTTCACATAAAATGTTGCACCTTGTTCAGACAGTCTGGGGGCCTCTTGACAGCCTCTCCGCGCGAAGCCACTGCAGTGCGGTTACATTGACGTGAATTTTCCTGTGTGCGCTGTGTGCCAGGCTTTTGATGATTGCGTGTTCAAAGTTGGTGCAGTTCGCTGTCACTGCTTCTCAGGAAAGAGCGCTTCGTTGCTGTTGTTTTAGGTGGAGAATTCAGCAGTGCTGCTGTTGGAGTTGAGAGCATTCTGATACTGCATTCTAGCTCAAACGGAGGACGCCACGAGAATCAGCATGCTCTGGAATCCGAAGATGCGAGACCCCTCGCTACCATCCACGCAACCAGCCCCACCGCCGGCTCCGCCGCGTCCTGCACTTGCACAGACGGCTTGAGAGCTGTTGTACCTGCAGAGAGATGTTTTTACCTGCAGCTGAAGAACGTGCTTTAGCAACACACTGGAATAGAATGATCAGAAGGCGAACGAGTGGACACAATCACTGCCACCATCTCGTGGCACCTGGAATTAGCACTTATAGTAGCTCCGCAATTCCAGTTCTCTAGGGGATGCACATGTTCACGCTGATTTTACACATCGCCGCTGGGTTTGCACCACATGGATTTACTGCAAGAGTGTTCATGATGCTGGTCTCTCCACTGAAATCCCGGCATTATTTACGTATCTATGTCTTCATCGGTGATGGCACATGCTTCAGATTGGACGAGACGTGCAATGCAAGCCACTGTAACGAAATGATTTCGTTGAGAAAGCTCAAACTTGTTGACCAGAGAAGTAACGTTCAGCGTCGTCGTCTATCAGCAGTTGTGTTGTTTGGATTAACACAAGGAAGAGTCCCCGGAGTCATCCTTTGCCGTCTTGTGTTGTGGGTTGCTTGAGCCCAGTCGTGACGGCGCTACTATTCCAGCTTCCACGCGATCCAGGGGCCACACTGGAATGAGTTCCAGTGAGAGACCAGAAAGCAAGGTGATTGTCTGCAACCCAAAGTAAAAATGTTAATCCAAAGTGTATATATATATATATATATATATTTAGGAGAATGTTAAATAGACCCAGGTTTTTACTAAATTGACCCACCTATCTTAACCATCATGAATAAATAAATAAATAAATTCTACATTCATTTTTCTACAATTGGATCCAAAACCAACAAAAACCAACCACATTCATCATGATTTCTATATTCGTCATCATGGGTAGGTCAGTTTTGTAAAAATTTGGGTCTATTTAAGATTTTTCTATAATATATATATATATATATATATATATATATTTATTTGAATGTCTACAATGGATGTTTATCCACAAAAAAAAAGAAAAGAAAAAAGTAATTGTATGTGGAGAGATGTTTGTGTAAATCACAAATTTGTGCAAGTTTCAAATGTTTTAGATTGTTTGTTTGATTTGTAGCCCAAGAGTGACAAGAGAGAAGCCAAAAAGTGAGGAAGGAGAATCAAATTTGTCCAAAGGTTGTTTAAATAAAGATACAATATCTCAAGATAGTATTGTGAACATGTGTAGAGAGTAGAATGAGTCTTCATGCAATCAACCAAGTTTGATCCCAAAATCCAATACCAATTAAGAACCATTCTTATTATGTCTATTTTGAATTTTTGACATATTTTCTTCTTAAAATCTTAGACTATATATTAAAAAATAGACAAATTTTCCTACTTTTTGCTTGTCCATTGCTTTCCAAGTCTAAAAAATAAGTTGGAATAGAATCTTATTTTGTATATTCAACTTAAAATTTGAGATGACAAGTTATATAATAAAAATTATTATGAATGTGATACTAAATAGCCTGATTATAAACATGGTTGTAGATTTTGTACTTGGCTACTAGCATAGACTACAATACTCTTCACTTTTACATTCTATGCTACATTTTCTACTTTTTTTTTGCATGAATTATCTTCACTTCTTTGCTTCTGCACTTGAATTCATTGCATTTAGACTACAAAGTTAATAAGACACAATAAATGTTTTTTTAGACCTACTTGTAGTCTTGACATACATTAATAGAGGTTATATATTTATTGTTCTTGGATGCTAAATTGATTCAAACTATGTCCAAATTAATTTTTGATATTCAATTAAAATAATGGATTGTTTATTCGATCATTTTAAGCCATCAAGAAAATTTATTATTGAATTAAATAAAAAATACAAAAATACATTTTAAAAACTTTGTATACATAAAATTTTAGTTTTTGAATTTTTCTATATTTTTGAATTTTTAAAAAATAGTTAAAAAAATAAAATTATACAAATAAATTCTAGATTCTAAAAATAAATAATTTAATTGAATATATTATTTAATGATAATAAAAATAATATAGTATAAATAATAATTTTATCTCAATTAGATAAATATAACAAAAATAAAAATAAAAAAGTTACAAAAGATTTGCAAAATTTAGCAAGCTCATAATTCTATAGTAAAAGCATAAATTATACACTAGAATTATATCTATAGTATAAATTATATATAAAAATTATAGTAAAAAAAATAAATTATATGTTAAAAGAAATATTTGCAATTAATTCTATATTTGTTATTATTATATGAATAATTTGTTTTTAGATGTGATAATTATGTTTATTTTAGGATTAAAAATACTCATTCAAATAATTTACTGCATTTAAAAATGTTTCTTATATTCTACCAATAGTGAAGTTTCTTAAAGACTTATTTTATTTTTTAAATATCAATAAAAAATAAAAACAAATATGTAAAAATAAAATTATTAAATATAATTTTTAATAATTTTATACATGGTTTTTATAAAGTTTAGAAGATAATATACGTTACAACAGAATATTTGCATGATTATCATATTTTCATATTAGAATCTTTAATTCTTCTAATGTTGTAATGAATTTATTTGTGTGATCTTTTAAAATAAGTAAAAATATACAAAATATTTATAAAAGTAAAATTTCTTCCAATTTTTTTAATATATAAAATAATTTAGTAAATATTTTATAGAATAAATAATATAATGAAATAAAATTTAAATTAAAAATATCAAAATTTAAGGAACTATAATGAGATTATAAAACTATAAAATTTATATGTAGTAAGTAGTTCACATGTAAACTAAAGGATATCCTTTTAAAGATTTTCTCTTATTTTTATCTTGTATAAAGTAATTAAATTTGGAGCAAGTTTAAATTAGAAATCTTTCATGACTTATAATCTAAAATTAGGAGAGTACTTGAAATTCATATTACATGTAGTAAATGCAGATGACTATTGTTACCCACAAACACGATTGTGATTGGTAATAGACGAAGGAACGTAACTGCGATGACCCCTGGGTTAGATCCATTAACACCACAGAGAATGGATATAAAAGCATGTCAGTCTGAATTCAGACAGAACACCAAAGCAAACCTCGAAGGGAAATATGTAAGGCCCTTCAGAAAACCAAGAGTCAAGAAAATCAACCGGTATTGATAAAATGACTCACTTGTCAATCAAAGATATGCTTCACAACCACAAACTTTGAGCACTCTTGCATACCCTGCTTTATATCCATGTCGAAGGCAGAATCGGACTGCACAACAAATCCGCGTTTATTTTTTCAGGATAGTTTAATGGTCTTTCAGTCCCTACACTCCATTTGCACAATTAAAGCACTTACACAACCACCAAGTTGGAGCTCTCATATCTAAGCACGAGCAGGTATCAGCTCTTGGAGCAGATAAAAACAGCATCACCAGAGAATGAGTCATTTTCACAATAAGAAAAATATCGATGTCGCATACGAGACTGTATGTTCAACTCTCAGTCACAGAACTGAAGCATAACAGGACTGAATGCACAGTTCAAATCAAACATGTTATTGACCAGCAGATATTCACTTGCCTGACTCATTGCATCAGCTGCAGCAGCTGAGAAGGGCACTACAAGGGCAGGTGAACTGAGAGCAGCAGCAGCAGCCCCTAATCCAGGGGACGCATCAGCTAAGACCGAAGGATTCTGAAAGAAGAAAAAAGGCTTCGGTAGAGGAGTTACAGCAGGAGGTACAGTTGTTCCAAGAGGACCAAGTACCGGCGCTAGCGCGGCAGGCAAGGTAGAAGCAACACTGCCGATGTGCACAAAAAATTCGCTGTATGAAATAGGTAGGATCGCAAGTATGCATAGATAGCAATTAACAAAACTATTCATATGGAACCAACTGCGAAAACGAAAAGGCAACCACTATTGGAACTTAACGTACTTCTAGGGTTAGGGTATAAGTTCAGTATTTGCAAGTAATTATTTGTCTTATTATTATTTTCTGTTTTTCATTTTGCTTTGTACTGTCGAGGAGAGCACAACTTCAAGTATTGCACCTCCTCAACGGGGTGTGACGTTTGGACACCTCATACTCAATTAGTTGTAACACTTGTTTTCTAATACGCCATGTTAATTGGTGTGTGGTGTTTGATGCATGTCAGGTTCTCTTCCAAGGACGCCTATCAACGGAAGGTGAGGAGCAAGCTTCGGACCTGTGAGGGGTTTCGTGAAAATGTCAGCCCGTATTGCGGAGGTAGGGCAGTTCTGAAATCTGATTTGTTGTTGAGTAGCTAATTGGCGAATGAAATGGTATCTCATGATGATGTGTTTAGTTCTCAAATGGAACTTGTTTGTGTCGACTCAGGCAAGGGCTTACTAATTGTCGCAGTGAAGAAGAGTGGTGTTGGGGAGGTTGGCGGGTTGATGAAGGTTACGGAGAAGTTGCAGCAGCCACACAGCTTTGAAGGCGACTGTGGCCATCGCCATGTACTCTGCCTCCGTGCTGGACAGGATGGTGGAGCATTGGCGCGTCAAATCCCAACTCGTGGCCCCTGAGACATCAAGAAAACGGAGCTCAAGATGGTGTGCCGTTTGCCTACCTTACAAATATAGGTGAGTTGATATATCATGGATTTGGTCTAAATTAGGTCTAAATTAAATTTGTAGTTATAGTAGTAGCTAATTAATATAAGACCTAATATATCCCTAAAAGCTAGAAACTTATTTCTAAGGAGGGGTTTTGTGAAGATATCTATTGCCATCTGCTTCGTGGGACAATATTCCAAACTAATTTGTCCTTTCTACACACATTACCTAATAAAATGATGTTTTATATCTCAATGCTTTGAACAAATGTGGTATGCTAGATTTTTGGCAATAGCAATAGCATTCTAATTATTCCCATAAATAAAAATCTTTTTGGTTTGGGAATGTCATAATCCCTAAGTACTTTGTGAAGCCACAAAGTCTTCCTTACTACAGCAGCCAAGGTTGCATACTCTGCTTTTGTTGACAAAACAAAAATTAAAGATTGCTTCTTGCTTGACCAAGCAATAATTGACTTGCCAATATAAATACATAATCTCCTATTGAACAACATATCTTCACAAAATCTTTTCCATTTGCATTACATTAGCCTACAAGTTGCAAATTTGCTTCCTTTCCTCCATATTGCAATACCAAATATTTTATTTTTTTGTAAGTAACAAAATATTTGTTTGATTCCTTGCCAATGTGAAACATGTGGATATATCATGTATTGAGTAAAGTATTGACAAGCAAATGCAATGACATACCTTGTACCATTTGTAAGGTAAAATAACGAACTTGAAGCTTTTTGATAAAGCTTTATACCTTTTGCATCCAAAAGATCATCATTTTCATGCTTAGCGACATGACTTCGTACCATTGGTGTAGCAACTGCCTTTACATCTTTCATTTCAAATTCGTCTAACTTTTGACAAATGTATTTAATTTGACTCAAACTAATTATACTATTTTTCTTATCTTGCAAAAAATCAATGCAAAGAAAATCACTGGGTTTATCAAGGTCTTTCATCTTATAGTATTCTTACAATTCATACTTGCATTTTATAAGGATCTTATTCTTGCCACCAATAAGTACATCATCAACATAGATAATTAGTGCAAGAATTAGTCCTTCTATGTACATTATATATAAATAAAGGTCTAATTTTGAATGCTCCCAATCAAGTTTCAATAAAGATTTATCCAAACTCTCATTCCATCTACATCTACATTGTTTCAAACCATATGAAGTCTTTAGCAATTGCAACACCTTACTTTTGTATTTTGATGGAACTTCCAAACCTTTTGGAATTTTCATATAAATATCTTCTTTAAGTTCAACGTTTAAATAAGCTGAAACAATATTAAGTTGTAACATGTTCCAATTAAGCATAGCAGCAATTGCAACAAATATACAAATTGTTGTAAGACAAGCAACTAGTGAAAAATTTTCTTAGTAATTAAGACCCTTCACTTGTGTAAAATTCTTTGCAACCAATCATGCTTTAAAACATTCAATAGAGCTATTGATAGCAAGTTTTTTTTTTCTTAAAAATCCATTTTAAATCCACAATCTTTCTACCATTGGATAAAAATAAAAATTTCCATATACCATGACCTTCCAAAGAATCAAGTTCTTCTTTTATGGCATGAGTCTGCTCTTTGCAAAAAAATAAATTCAAGGCTTGCTTAATAGTCTTTGGTTTTGCATATTCATCAATATAAACCACATCCACTATTTCAATTGATAAATCATAATTTGCTTGGATAAAATTATTATTTTTTTTTTCAAGGCATGCAATGCATCTTACTACCATTTATAATATTCTCCGGCTCAATACCACTTACATAACAATGTCTTGGTGGTAGAGTTTGAATGGTTGTTTCTACTTTTGATTGATAGAATTCCACTACTTTTGTTGGTATAGGATTTGCTTCCTCTTCAACCATTTTTTTATCTAATCTATCATGCATATGTAATCTTGAGGCTTAACGTTGGAATATTTCTAATTCATTTGGATGTTGAAAATCTAATATATCAAGATTATTTCTATCATCCATATCTTCTCAAATTATCTTTCTTCTAGTTCTTTTTTGTACCTCCACTTTCGAAGTCTTATAAGCAACATGTATTTGGTCCTTGGTTTGAAGAAATATAAGGCTACTATAGCAAGAATCTTTATCAATCCATACAACTAATCATTTGGCACTACCAAAGCTAATTGTATCAAAATAACCAAGATCAAATACTATTACATCTAAAATATTATTGGCATGTTTATGCTTATGTGAGAAAGATTGCCTATGGACCTTGCCAATAATGCATGACTCATATTTAGATATTTTATCCTTCTTCCTTTTGATCTTTAATTCTTTAACATAATTCATCTCCTCTGTCTTTGCTATTGCATACATTGAAACATGCATTATTGCTTGATGTCATTTAATAAGTGTATGATTTGAAATAGATGAGCTAAAAATTATAGCAACCTCTTTAATTTCACAAGACATGAGATAAGCTTTACCTACTAGCGTGCTTTGTGTGAGTAAGTTACTTGAAAGTAGAATCCAATGAATTCCATTAATGTTCAAGTTAAGTTTGCAACCTTTCTTGCATAAAGTTGCACTTGATAATAAAATATCATATGCTCTAGGAATTTAATGGACATCCATCACAACCACAAGAATATGTTTTTCTGTAGAATCTAAAACTATGAGATGTATCTCACCTGAGTCTCATAATTTGCTAATGCCACCATCATAGCCTTAGAGTTGAATAGTCACATTTTCATCAAAATTCAGAAGCTTACTCCTGTCTCTTTAGATGTGTACATTTGCTACACTATCGACACATATATAATGTCGTAATTGAGACGACAATGCAATCTTTGTTTTTGAATTAAATGTTGTCTCTTGATCTAAAAGAAAAACAACAATGCCAACATTTCCTATACCATTGCTATTTGTTTTAGGACATTGTGCATCACCTTGCTAATGCCCTTTCTATCTACAAGTTCGAAAAGTAATTTTAGATTTATCAATTTTAGGCTTCTATTTTTGTTGTGGATGGTGTTTCTATAAGACTTGCTTTCCTCTGGCATGCACTGCTAAAGCAAAAAATGAAAAACTAGTCTTTTCCTTCCTTTGCATCTTTTCTTCAAGGAAAATAGATTATACTACCTCTTCCATGATTTCTTCTCTTTTTTTCAATGCAATCGACTAAATAAGTGGATTCCAAGATTTTGGTAATGAGATAAGTATAAGAAATGCCATACTTTGTTTTCTCATTTTGCCATTGACTACAATATATTGATCCCTAAAATCAAAAATCTCTCCAAGAAAAAATCTCCATAAATTCTCCATCTACATATCAAGTATTATATAATTTCTTCATTAAAAATATCTCAGTAATAATTCTTGAAGATTTGGAGATCTTAGCCAATATGTCCCACATCTCCTTTGCAATATTATATTCGCATATATGACTTAATTATGAAGGTTTGATATTAAGGGCAATCAATACTTGTGCTTCTGCTTTGCTTAATTTTCATTTTTATTTTTCATCAATATCTGTAGGCCATTTTAATATCCCAGCTACATGCATATAAAGCTTGCAAACGCACATTAAGTGTTTCATAATAAATGTCCATTTGCAAAAAATTAATAAATAATCTACAAAATGTAATATTTGGAAAGTAGAAGTATCAAGCTATATTGGAACAAAAAGACTCGTCTTCACCACCAACAAAAAATGGGATTTAATTAAGAAAAAAATAATATCAATAGAGTTTAAATTCCAATTTTAGTAGCTCTAATAGCTCCTTGGCTTTGGTAGCAGTCCAAGAGCAATAAAATTCCGGCAAGCAAATCATCCATAAATAAATAAATAAATAAATAAATAATCCATAGAAAACATCTAATTTCATCCAAATTGACATTCATCCATAGTATTATTCATTTAAACTAATGTTCATCTAAGGCACTATTCATTTAGGCTGATGTTCATCCATGGCACTATTTATCTAGACTATATTCATCCAACTTCGTTACCATGTTATGAAAACATGATGAAAGCATGAAAATAGGATGGACAATATTCATTGCTAACAGAAGGTATTGGAAGCCAAGGAAAGAGCACTTCTGGAGTCTTAGTTAAGAGTTGGATAAGTCATAGCTTTCTGTTCATACAATATGGAATATTCAATGGTGACATTAGGACACCTCACACTCAATCAGTTGTAATTGCTGTTTTCTAATAACCACTACCGGATAAAAAGATATTCTACAAACTGAAACTTTCAAAGAATATTAAAATATTTAAAAATATTAATAAATGATGAAAAACAAGACCTTCTACTCCCAGTAAGATTTTGAGTGGAGAGAGATCTTGAACTAGCAATTAGGAACGGTGACGAGCGTTGCATAGATCCAGAAAATATTAGACAGCCCTCAGGAGCTCATTAATGGACAGTTATACAATGGAATTTTAGTGACAACAGATTTCAACATCACTACGAGTCATAAACTCACTAGATCACTTCATTCATCGTCGTCAAATTCTCCTCGATGCACCCCCATATCCACCATGCCAATCTGGTCTGATAAAGCTGACACCTGAGCAAGAATCACAAAATTAGTTATCAGGATTTTAAACTTGTAAAGAATGAAGGAATGGGCGTAACCAACATGAGCCCCTTTAGCCCAGCACAAACAACCGTCGGATTTTATCACTTTTGAAAAAAGAAAATGTAACCTGAACTGAGCGTTCAGCAAGCTCCAAACCGTTAGGATTCTGTTGCGCTGCACAAGAACCCTCTGGCCTTGCAAACAAACATGAGTCGTAGATATCAAACAATTAGTGAATAATAAAGTTCTTAGTAACTGCTTTACAAAAAGTGCACAACTAGTTACATTCTACATTAGCATGAATAACTAAAAGCTAGTTTGCTCACTTAGGAACACAAAAGTACGTAGTGGTCAAAAACCAAGGGTTGCAACATGTGGCTACATTGAACTGCGAGTTGAACCATGGCTGACTCACGGCGTTGAACGATGTGACGAAACAAACTTACTTGTACGAACCCATACCCTTAGCTTTGTCCCATTTCAACATCACAAGGCTCGAAAATCAGGTTTATAGGTTCCTGATGTGAAGGTTAGTTGCGATGGTATTGCCAAGCGGTCCTTGAAGCCTCTTCCCAACGTGCTAGCTTTGTTGAAGGATCCATGGCCTGATGACCGACACTTCTGTAATTGCTCCGACCCCCCTGACTAGATCTTGTGTATTAAGCATGAAGTCCTCGC